GGGTAGGGTAATAGGTTACTGTAATATCCAAGACCTGGAGATTGGTGTCTCTGAATTCCCATGCTCCAATACCAGTATGTGATTCCTGCCAACTGTTTTCTTGAATTTCTTCTAGTAGGTTGTTATAAATCAGGTTTATGAAGAGGAAACTCTCTTGAATTGTGCATTTTCAGTGGATTTATGATAAAGCCATCAAAGTGGAGGGTCCATATGGTAGGAATGCAGTAAAGGTAACAGGACAGTGTCATGTAAACATTAAATACAGTGCCTTCCACCTTCATAAATCCTCAATGCTCATGATTAAATGCTGCCGGTTATAAATTATGCAACTAAATTCTAGAAACAACCACAACTGAAATAAGATACCAGTGGAAGCCATAAATCGTCTATAGTTTTCTCCCCAGAAAACCCTTGTGTGTTTATTAGGAGACCATATTTGAGTCCCTATTTTCCTCAACAATTATTTTTCTCTATTTAACTTCCTACAGTAAACTCTAGTTTTGATTAAAAAGTAATAATGCAAACCTTTAACCCTAGACAATAATCTGTCATTTTTATGTGGTGAAATGCCTTTCTGATTTGCAGACTCATTTTAAAGCTTTCTTAATATATACATAGCTTTAAGTCTCTAAGATGTTGCCCTTTTTAGAGTCATGTATCAGAAGTTTCTGCAACAGCCCAATTTCCCACAGGTATTTACAATCAAATTATTTTATTACACATGGGAACAATTAAGCATTTGGCCCTCAGCTGTAAACAATTACTATACACAACGACATTCATGGATTTTTCTTAAATAGTGATGTATTCCTAATGACCTCTGTTACCGTAAGTGAGATTGATGTATGCATATTTTGTGTGTGTCCATAAGCAATTATATTCCCAAACATAATATTAAAACAGAGATTTTACCTAGAGAATACATTAACTTTGTCTGATACCGTGTGGCCACCTGCAATGATATAGTTAACATATTTCACTTCTATTCCACTGTCATTTTACTTCTGTTCCAATTTAATTCTAAAGAACTAGTGTTCACAGTAAGAAGCAAGTAAAGTTCTGGATAATTTGTTTTTTAGCGATTTGGGGTGTCTAATCCTAATAAATTGATATCAATGTTGGAAGTAGCAGAGAGGTATAGTAAACAAGGAGAGATATAACAAAATAGGCTTAGGCTTGAATCTTGGTTCTGCCAATTTCTAATTGAATGACCTTGGACAATTTCCTTTTTTTAGCTTTAGCTCATATTTGAGAAATGTGGGTAGTTATAGCTAAATCACAGGACTACTATGAGTATCAAATAAAATACATATTTAAAGAGAAAAGGCACATATCGCATACTCAGAACACATTGATTTCTCCATTGTTTCCATACCCCTTTCCTAGAAAGGCCCATAAGCTCTGTAACTTTCCATTTTGGGAATCCATCCTTAGTTGTCTCAAGTTTAGGGATACATTTTCCTTTCACTAGATTCCTCTTTTCTACAAGCGACAATCATGGGAGAAGCCCACAGCTGTTTTATTCATGTCCAGAATAAGTCAACTGGTCCCAATTGCAAGGGTACCTAACAGCTGGACCCAGACTTTCTAGGAGGCCAGAACTGGAGCAGAGTGGTAATGTTTCAAGGGCAAAGCTCTAGATGTAAAGAATGATAAAACAAAACCTAAATGAGCCTGCACATATCTAGTGACAGATACACCACAGCTATTCTAAATTATTCAAGCTTTTTCCGACCTCTAGCAGGAGAAACAAAATTTATTCTGCTGTCTTTATTCTACTCTCTCATATGATGGCAAAGAAGCAAAAAAGAACAAAAAACAAAAAACAATCCCCCCCCCTCCAGAAAAGAAATAAAAATCACCCAAACTGAGAAGAGTTTCTTTAGCACATGCAGTATTTTTAGAACCATCTAATTTCTGGGAACTAGCTTTGGAAGTAGAAGTTAAAAACGATTTTGCAATACTTATGGGTTATTTCCTTACTTTTCTTTTGTTAACATTTTGCTGGCAAAAAGCCAATAAAACAGTTGTTTAATTATCCAGGACATCACAAATATATAACCTCTTAGATAAGTTGTTACTGTATTTTAGCAGCAATAATACTATGGTCAAAAGTAACAAAGAAAAATTAATCTTCAAAAAAGCAAACCTCAAAAGAACAGCTTTCTGTATCAAGAATAATTAATAACTTGTTTAGGAAATTGTTACTGAAATGTGGTTTTTGGAAAAGGAACTGACACTCTTCAGAGGTTAGATATCCTAATATTTAACAGGCTACCATTTGGTGTGCTGGCTGGCTGGCTACCCTGTAGGCATGGCAAAAGTTTGTTCACATGTAATTATACAACATTTAGACAATATCTTCATGATACCATATATTTCAGCTAAATTAGTCCAGTTGGAAATTGTAGCAACATTCTGATTACCTGGCCACATCTGAAATTAAGGCTTTTTCAACCTCTACTTTTCACTTGCTATGTTTTGACACATATATTCTTGGAAAGCCTAAATTATTTATGATTTGACAATATTTAGCAGAGTGAACCTCTCCTCTTTCATTTTTATCAATTAAGATTGCATTACTATATAAGATATTTAGCTTGTAATTTTAACAAGGACTATTAATATACCTTATCACACAGAAGAGATATTAGTACATTTTGGACAGTTGGAATGGAACTTTTCCACACCCATCTTATACAATAAAAATTGTATACTTTTTTCTTTGCAGATAGTTCTTATTGTAAACGTGAAATCCAATGTGTACTGTGGAAATCATTTTACTAAATAGTTAATCACACAGCAATCGTTATTTTAGAAAACAGTTATATAAGTTGCATAAACTAAAATACTGCAGATTTGTTCTTGCATCACATCATAAAGACATTTAAAATATAGCAAAGGCAAAATCATTAGTGTCAAAAATTTACAAAAAAAAAAAAAGCCCAAGGTTAACACTCTGAAATCTCAATATATTCTTTTGAGTTTTCAACTCAAAAGTTTTTGACTTTTGAACTAAAATACAAAGAAATTCAGTCAATGGAATTTTTTTTTTTTTTTCCCAGCACTCTGTCCAGCCCAAGTGTTTGGACAGCTTCTTCCCCATCCTCCTAACTGAATGATACCACAATTATTTTGTTTTAGAAGTAAACAAAGGTTTAAAAATTTTAATCAACAACCATAAAGGCTATATATAGTATCTAATGAAGTCAAGTAACAAATGATTTTTAGATAAAAATAATCTTTACTGTTAATGATATTATTTCAGACACTTTCTATGAATCAGAATGGAAAAAAATATAGGTAATGAAGTATTTAATATCTCTAGTACCAAAACTAAATGAAACACTTTAAAACACTTCTACAAATAATTTTATTACTTGCAAACATATTGCTAATTTTAGTAAATAGAACTAGTGGCTGAGGAGGAACAGAACTCACTGTTGAATGTGTGTGAGTCCCCAAAGAAGAAAACTAAGTCTTAATTCTTCTAAGTCTTTATTGAAAAATAAAATGCTAAATTCTAGTCAACCATCATTCCCATTAGTACCTGGTACTTTCTGAACCAAGGAATCTTGAAATGTGTGACCCATGTCATATTACAAATATATCCCAACAACTGACACACACACACAAAATCCCATTAAAAGCTGACTTGTAAGTTACCATTGAGGTAATGCTAAATGATCATTAAAGATGTTTAAATGTCACTGTCTACTGTCTTCAGTGTGCCATTACGTAGCCTTGGGATCCTTTCGAATAACAATCAATAGAAGATGAGTAAGTCTCACCACTTGAAAGTAACCAGGAAAGGAAGTCAACAGAGTAATCTAGCTTTGGTGGATTGATTCAAGAAGAGACACAATATCCACCCCTTCTCTCCTCATTCTCCCTCCCCCTATCCAGCCCACACCCCTACAAGGAAAAGAGAGAGAGAGAGAGAAAGAGAGAGAGAGAGAAGGAAAGAAAGAGAGAGAAACAGTTTAAAAGGAAGAAAGACACTTCTAAGGATCCCAGGCATAATTTATACTGAGAAGAAAACCTCACACTATGGGATAAACTATAGCCATGGAAACAGACTTATGACTTTTACTTTGAAAATAAAAGAATGACAATGAAATTTGTGTGAGGTCTGTATGAATCCAGTCCCAGATGTTTACAATGTTGTCGTAGTATGGCTCTGCAACATGAGAGGTTTCAGAAGAAACAGTACAACAGGACACCACAAAGCAGCACATACGCTATTGACAACGCAGACATGAGCATCATGTTACCAAGAGAGAAGGCAGCAGAAGACAAATAGCAGCGGTGCTGCCTGAAAAGCTAACTTCATGGACTGCAATCACTCAAACCAACATGAGGGACCAAAAACAGGAAAAAAAAGAAAGAAAAGAAAAGACAAGAAAAAGAAATCAAAACCAGAAAAATGCTTTTCGTTCCTATCTAGATGTAGTGGGGTAAAGGGATGGGGGTGGGAAACGAGTGGAATTGACTTTTCTTTCTTAAATAAAGTTCTCATAAAGCTCCCATAATTGACAGCGGATAATTATTTTCAGCTTGAGGAGCCTGTCCCAAAACTCGTAACAAGATTGCCAGCGAAAAGAAACAAAATGTGTTTACTTGAGCCATATCCAGACGGAAGGAAAAGGAGATCTTTGGATGAGGTGGGGAAGGGCGGTGGAGACAGAATGGGGCATCTTTGCACAGCAGCCGCCCTCTCGGGCGCCCTGCGTGGTCCAGGGAGTGACGGGCTAGAGGGGCGGTAGGGCGGCAAGGGGTGGGGGTGTGGAGAGAGCGCGCCTAGAGGAGGAGATGAGGCAGCACAATGTATATGCGGGGTTGGGGGGGGCGTTGATTTAGTGTGAAAGTATTCCACTTAATCATTTTACAGGGGTTGGGGACGTAAATATTTAGCTGGCCACATCTGGAACAGATTTTCCCCCCCGTGTGGGGTGGGGGTGGATAATTGGAAGGACGGGGAGCGCGCATTTGTGACTTACTGTACGGGCAGTTCTCCTTCTTGGTACCGCTGACCTTCCCGTTCTTCTCAATCTTGAGAAAGTACTTGGTGAAAGAGAATAGCTTTCTCCAGCGGACATCTCCTTGGAGGTGATTGTAGCTCCGCACATGCCTCCCCGCACTGGAAGGAGAGGAGAAGGAGGAGGAAGAAGAGTTGGTGGCTTCTGGTGACACCATGTCCTGACCAAGGGCTTGGCAGGTGACAGGGACGGAAGACACCAAGAACAGCAACAAGAAGCAGCAGCAGCAGCAGCCCGGCAGGTGGGGAAAGGCTGAGGCACAATGTGTCAGTATCCATTTCCACATTGTACTGAAACTCTCGGCACTGGAAATTGTCTCATCAGAAGGAACATACTGGAAGGGTAAGACCTGGTGCAAGGCAAGGAAACAGCTGGAGGTGGTTGCTGCTGGTTAGCTCCCTCTGGGCGCAGATCTGGCCAGAAGTGAATGCACCAACATCCATAACTCCTCGGAAGAGCCGGCTCTCCTCGCTCCTTTCTAGGATCCGCTGCCTGCGCCTCTCGAGTCTGCTGGCGAATGGTGGACGTGGGTGGCCGCAGCAGCAGAAGCTTGCGGTGGCGGTGGTGGCGGTGGTGGTCACCAGCGCTCTTCGCTCCCCCAGGAGTTACTTTGTTCTCTTCTCACTCCTTTCTTCACCATGTTAGAGGCAAAAAAGGTCTGAAAAACAGATGACAGCACGGTGAACAAAACCAAAAGGGGGTGGGGTGGGGGGTGGGGGGAGGTATCTGCGCCCCTCTGCGGTTGGCACCTTCTGGTCCCTCTCGGCAGAGCCCCAGCCTGCTGGCCACTTCTAAAAGTGTGTCCCCTTGGAGTTGTCAGAACGGGAGGCAGCTGCCCGGTCGCCGTTGTTTTCTTTCCCCTCTTCCTTTCTCTTTTTAGTGGTGCCTGTTGATTTGAAGCCTCCAGAAAGTCACTTTTTGTTTGGGGGGACGGCGGCTAGTGTTTTGTTTGGCCCTATCCCCCACACCCCCTTCCTTGGAAAGCCCGCTTGTAAACAGGTTGAAGCCTGGAGTCTAAATGTCAGTGATTCTAAGCCAGAGGTGGGCTCTGCCTCTGCTGGTCAAACCTCATTTGCAGGGGTGGAGAAGCGGGGGGAGGGGGTCAAACGGCGGTGGGACATCTGAAACCCTCGGCTGCTGGGAACGCCAGGGAGAGGGAGGAGGGAAGGGGCCGGGAGGGGGGAGAGCAGGGGAGCGAGAAGAGAGCGCGATGCCTTTGCACGGAGCTCGGGGGCTGCCGGGTCCCTTCTCGCCGCCGCCGCAGCCTCAGCCTCCGCCGGCGCCTGCAGCTCGGGCTAATTGCTGCCGAAGCGTGCTGTGCTCGCTGCTCCGGCCACTGGCGCGAACTGTATCCTCATGCTTCCCGAAGTTTGCTGCCTTCTAGCCCGAACCAATCCCCTCTGGGGAGCCCCTTTCTCACTTGTTTTCCAGCGTTGATTTTTTTTTTTTCCCCTCTTTCTTTTGGCAGTGAAGTACTTGAGAGCCACCTGGAGCCTGGTGCTTGGCTGGCTTTTTTTCTGCCCCCTCTCAGTCCCAGAAGGGGGGAGGGCTGGGGAGACAGCAGAAGATGCTGAGGATAAACCGTCCAAAGCAGCAAATTATAAACTGGTCAGAGCGAGCACAGAAAAGGGAGACATAATTAGCTTCCTTTCCTCCTCTTCTGCCAGCTTCCAAGGAGGTCTCCGCTTTAATGAATCACTGATTTCTCGCTTCCGTTGCTGAAGTAAAAAGTTCACACTTTGGCCCTCTCTGACTTTTAAGCTCAGGGAGATTTATCGTCACCCTTAAAAGTCGCCTCTCTCGGCGCAAATGAAATCAGGGACCCAAATAACCGATTTCTAATTGCTAACATGAGTCCTTTACTGAATCACGCGTGCACTTCAAAGCGAACGCACTTTATTGAGATCGCAAAGATTTTACCGTACGATGTGGCCCAATACCCTGCTGTCTGTTTTCTTTTCTGCGCAATTTCCTTTGCGCTTTGTCATAAAGGGGCATTTTTTTCTATCTTCAACTATAATATTTAAAGGGTTCTGTTTTACAATATAACTGCACTACCAGTCACTCTCTCCTTCTCACACGTTTCCACACACCGCCTTCCAGCTCCCGCACTGCTCACAGAAACTAGCTCACAACTCAGGTATAGACAGAACTAAGTCCAAGGCTAGAAAGCCTTTGCCAAGAGTTTAGAGGCACAAAGAAGGGAATACAGTGATAATCCATTCCAATCTGAGTAAGATTCTAGAAGACCCCTTCTTTAGGAATGACTCTAAACTAGGAAAAGTTTGACTAGAAGGAATGCCTAAACATATATTGGTGTAAAGCATTTGTTATGTAAGGCATTTAGATATTTGTGTCTTGTTGAAGCCTATGAAACTGCCAATATTTTAAGGTTTTCCACCTACAAAAGTTGCAATTTCATACGGTTCAACCTAATAGTCTGCCAGTCTAAGACAGGAAAACATTTCAAGGTGAACTTGAGAGTTTAACAACTGCATCTGTAATTTGGAGAGAACTAATCAGAAGAGCCTGTATTCACAAAACAAGCCAGAATCCCTATAATGTGCATTTGGCCTCAAGCTTGGCTGTGAAGCAGGGAAAATACAAAGAAATTAAAAATTTAGCTTTACAGATGGGCATTAGGACTGGATTACCTAATTACATATTTAGTGATTCGAACATGGGTTTATATGCATGCTCTATTATATTTTCCTGTGCATTCAGAGCCTTTAAATAGACTCATTTAATGCTAGAATCAAGATTTTAATTGCATCGTTTATAACTCATTGCAATGTTTATTCAGAAGATTTCAACAATGTGGCGAACATCACAGTAGATTTTTGACTTTAATGTAATTAGCTCTGATTTCTGTAGCTATTAATTGGAAAGTTAAGCAAATAAAAGAGCATACGTCAAATAAATCTAGCTCTTTAAAGCATGGATATTGAAAAGTAAACCCACAGTGCTAATTCCAATTTTCGAGTTCACAGTTTTATACCTAATCAGAAAAATGTCTGAAAGAAAGTGCAGGGTTTCTAAGGGATTTGGGTTTCAGCTCAATGGTTCGGAAGAATCCAAATGTTTGAATTCACAACTAATTAAAACTACATTTTTTTAAGTTATGTTTGATGAAACCATACAATAAAAACTTTGCTGTGAAAAGTTACAAAACACAGGAAGTTATTATTTTGGGGTTTCTCTACACTGGGAGCCAACACTATTGATGCCAATTTGGGATTTAAAAAATTTTAACTCATGCTGGACACCATCCTAACCCAAAGCTAGTGTCTCTCTCTCTTTCTCTCTCATACACACACCCCCACCACCAACTTTCTGTTCAGATCTTTTAGCTAGAAGTTTTATTTTTATTCTGTCTAAAATGAGGGAAAAGCCATCTTTAAAACTTCGATATTAAAATATAGTTGCAGCAGGTGCAGGATTTGAAAGTTCTAGAGCCCTTTCGCCACTCTTCTGTACAGCACGATGACAGGAAGGGCATTTACAAAACAGTCCAAAGGAAAAGCTGACATAGCTTTTTAGATTATATCTCATTCTTCTTTTTCTTTTCTGTACAGCCTTTCTTTTACAGCACAGTTGAATCCCTAAATACCCAACTGCTTTGCATTGTTAGGTCACCTCTTAGGTTAGCCCGAGAAAGCCTGAGAAAAGTTCCACAGGAAAGATGCACTATTTAACGGAATTCAATCTCTCCCAATAGATTTGAATCACTAACATAAATGTATGAATGTAGATTATATCTCTGTAATGAGGCCTGAATCATTCTCAGTTACTTCAAAGGACTGAAATTCTACCTTCCTTTTTTAGCAGCAATAATCAGGTCTTAATGGGTTCCTTTATTAATTGTTTCTCTGCTAGGATTGAAAAGGACAGTACAAGCTTCAGATTAGAGTGGTACCTAGTAATTCTAAAAGGCTGTTTTTCTCTTTTATCCAACCTCTGGAAGGCATACTTTATTTCTATGTCCTAAAGATATCTAGTAATATTAGGCTAACTCTATACTGAGAGAAATAGATGTGACCATTTGTTAAATGTGATGTCTTGAGAAATGATTGAGGATTTTTAAAACAAGATCATGGCAGCAGCCATTGAAGAATCCTAAAACATGGCTCTTGAACCTCAGAGAAGCAATCTGTGTACTACCAGATCCTTCAGTAGCTACTCTGTGAGCACTTTACATTTTAAGTATGTATTTCCTGGATTCTTTATGTTGCTCAACACTATCTGTGGTTCAGTTACAAGATGTGTGTTCTATTATGTGTGATGTTATTGGCAGTGTCAGTAAGCTGCTTCAAATAATGCTAAGTCAGGTCAAAAGTCAGCCAGGGTGGTCGGCAATTTAGACATGTGCAGGCCTCATTTTTTAAGCATGTCGTGCAGCTCTTTCGAGTTTGTGTCCTTCCCCATTTTCCCTTTTGGATACAGGGGTTGCCAGTTTTAAGGGCTTTTGGGCTTCCACTGCTGCAGCTAGACATGATGCTTATAATCAGTGACCTTTGGGCAAATGTAGTGATATCTTATTATTATTTTTTTTAAATTAGTAGCTTCAAATGGAAGGAAAAGAAATGTTAACTCACAGACAGTAGTGCGATACTTCGGAGCCAGTAGGAATCTTAGCAATAACTGAATCCAATGCATGCATTTTGTAGGCAAATGATCTGATTCCTAGGTCACTCAGTAGTAGAACAGAGTTTGGAACTCCCATGATAGACCTTAGGCTATTACCCTAATTTTTGAAACACCTGTCCTGTCTGTTTTCCTTTTTCTTCCTCCCTGCTGCTTTTCTTATCATTGACCAGTCATCACTCTATTATGTCTGAGATGCCAGATTGGAAGTGATAAGAAGGGTTAGAGGCTTTAGTTATGGAAAATCAATATATCTTTGGGACAATAGTTTAGCCAGAGAAAAGAAATGAAGTAGTTTAGCATTGAATTATTAAGCACCAGCTGAGTAGCCAAAATAAATATTGATATAGGCTTGGCAA